TCAAAACACGTCAGCTGCGAGAACTATAAGGAAAAAAGTGAGAAGTTTACCATCCTTTCTGACCGAATGACTGCTGGTTCGAATCTCACCGCAGACCGACTGTTTGCGTTACACGGGTAGCTAGACAACTTCCAGTACTAAACTATCTCGGTCAAGACCAAATCCACTCCTGAAACCGAAGTGGAGACCATGCACAGTTCTCGGGAAAGACCAATTCCTCAAAGCGGCAAAATGGAAACCATCGAAGGTACTCAGGTGAGTACTATCAGTATAAGTTCTAAAATGTGTTTCTCAGTGTATAAATATCAGTAGCTCCTCGGTCCCGTATACGACCAACCGTCATGCACCGAACAACACAATGCAAACTGCTCGCCTTTGCAGGCTATGTGGACGGTAGGGGGATACCCATGGCCTAAAAATTATGACCCAGTAGGTTTAAACAAAGAAACTATATGACTTTTGCATTATGCAATTTCATTGTATCATGTTCGGCACTCTGGCCGAAAAGTTATATCTTTGTCGTTTGCTTTGATACGCCAAATTGTTCTCGTGCATGTTCTCGTCGGTCGTCCTCATTTTTTTCTGTTCTTTTTTTTTTACTTGCACTCAATTTGGACTCCTCCCTGTTCTCTACTTATGATCTCCCAGTAAAATCTTCTGTCGTTATGCAGATTTATACATGAAGAGCAATAGCAAGCATCTCGCTTGCTTAGCAATCCCCTGTTTCCAGTCAGATGCTGCTCTTCCAGCGCCCCCACCGCCCTCCTCACATCCACGAGCCTCTGCGCTCCGTGCGCTGACCCGAGCCGACTCCGGCGGCCGGAGTCAATGACTCGGTCATGCGCGCGTGCGGCTTTTTGAGCCGACCGGCGCGCCGTCTCGGCGCATCTGACCTTTCTTTCTGCGCATTGATCGCCGCTGCGCTGGCGGCTAAATTTCGCACCGGCGGCGGAGCAGGTGATTGATTTTTACGGCCACCGCCGGCAGCCGGGCCGAGGGCGTGCTTTTTCTCGTGGCCGACGCTCTCCCGTCGGCTAACCATTGCCTCACGGGCGCAGCCATGAAAAGTCAATGCATGGTGCCTCGACGAGAGGCGCTGCTGCCACCTATCGGTAGAGCACGAAAGCAGTAGTTCGACCGTTCGTCAATGCTGGTGGTGGAGACCGTGAAGGGGTGGGCTTAGTTTTTCTGTGGAAAAGGCGGCTTGCTTCTAGCGTATTACCGGCGTAATCGCTTCTTATCTTGCATTCATGCTGAGAATAGTGGAAACGAACAGGCCTGCCATCAGACGTGACTCGATGGAAATGGAAATAGACCTTCGGTCGCGGCGGCTCGCTATGAGGTTGTCCAGCGTCTGCAGGGCATTAGTTGAAGGAACGGGGACTTGCTCTTGGATGTTTTTTTATGGAAATTAAAACACCATAAAAAAATGTAAGAAGACTACACTTAAAGGTTGAGCTAAAAGGTCATTTCCGGGCCTGACAGCTTTGTAGGGAGTTTCAACCAGCGAACCGACAACTACGCCGGCACCGACAATGCCTGAGGTCCCATTGTGTCGGTGAATGTTGGCAGATTTGTTAGATCAAAAAATTGAGGCAGCTTAACGCTCAGAACACCATGAGGAGGGCTGAACACTCAAGAAACCATCCTGGCTTTGACATGTTTCTGACAACTTCATTAGACGGCTCAGCTCATACGACCAGTCTCTCCCATCTGTCCGGCATTCTCTGTCATCAGTGACGGTCGTTACAAGGTTACTACCATACCCAGACCAGACCAGACGGTGGGTATCGGACCAGGGCGTGTCCCTCCGCCCGCCCGTCGAGTCGCGCCGGCCGGCCGGCCGGCCAGTTTGCCCTGGGGCGCCGCCCCGCGGCCAGCGCTGACTCCCGCCGCCGCCACTACGCGGCGCTAGTGTCGCGCAATTCCAGCCGCCTCGCCTGGCCGGCCTGCGGCGCCGGCGGCGGCGGAGGGCCACTTTTTGTGGCCTTTTTTGCACCCCTTTCGTCTGGACGACGGGGTCAGTGGACTCGCGGCGGGGCGGCCGGCGCACGTGAGACGTTCATGGCGGGCGGGAGGGCGGCGGACCGGCGGACCAAAGCGGGCCACGTGCGGTCCAGACGCCGCCGCGAGGCACTGCCGGCCGGCCGGGCACCCCCTGCCGGCGCCGGATAGGGGCGATTAAACCGGCAACGGGTGTCTGCGTGCAGCTACTCTAAATCAGCTCCGATGAGCTAAATGGGATTATATAACGGCTGATGCTCGCATGTAGCCCTTTGGTGGAAGAGCAGAAACACCACGTCAAAGATTAATCTTATTATCCACCTGAGCATTAGGTACACAAAAGCCACCCATGTTAGCACGAAAAAGAATATAAGAGAGTGTTCAATGCAAAGTGTACGTGGCCAAATCATTCAGACTTTCCCACTCAATCTCAGACATATGTATGTACGTGCATGATATTTACATACCCACCAATGCAACTGGATCCAAGAATGGAGCATAGGTACGCACAAGACTGACTGAAATCACTGAACGCGAAGTCCAAAAGAACAGCGGCTGCATGCATCACATGCTGCGACAGCTAAAGACGGTAGACGGATATATATACCTAATTAGTAAATATGCTGATCATGCATGTTTTAAGGGTCAGGCGCTATTCTAACGATTACCTGAAGTTGGTTTGCATTTCAATAGCAATAATTTAATCAGCCAGCATGGGGAATCATTCAGAGGAAAACGGTGCAGTCGGAGCCGTACGAACATTTTGTATTTATAACTATTATATTATTATGTAATTAATCCCGTACCTAACCGTCCATCCGCCCAGAACAAGCATTTTTACCGTCGATTGATCCTTTGCACTGTGAGCACATGCGTTGAAATTGATTGGGGTGGCAGCTGGCGGGGTGGGGGTGGGGGGGGGGGGAGGAGCTGTTGGCTGGTGCGAGCGATTGTCGCTGTTTATTCGATGATATCAGCAGTGATAGGCCGCTCCTCTGTGTGTGTGCGTGTGTGCGTCAGTTAGTGAGTCAGAGGGGCAGTTGGCAGCCAACGTGCAGTGTGACTGGAGAAAATGTCAGCTGCCAGCGGACAGGGCTGTCACCGGTAGATGCAGAGGGAGGGGAGAAGGAGAGAGGAGAGGGGAGGGAGATGAGTTTGAGGTTCCAGCCGCGGTATGAGCCTCGATAGACAGTCCCAGGCCGCCTGAGTCACAAGAGGCAGCAATTGACACTTTGAGTCGCCGCTGCCGCCCACCGCCCACGCAAGTCGGCCTCAGGTCGTCCTGAGCCATAAAAGGAAAGGAAGTCTCTGACCGTCTAAGCCACACTAGGCAGTTTGAACCGCCCTCTGAGCCACGGGAGTCAGTCTCTGGCAGATTGAGCCGTTATTTTGAGCCGTAAGAGTCAACCCCAGACAGTCTGAGCTACAACAGGCAGCTTGAGTCGCCGCCTGAGCCACGAGAGTCGGTCTCTGGTAGACTGAACCGCCGTTCTGAGCCGTAAGAGTCAACCCCAGACAGTCTGAGCTACAAGAAAAGTCACTGGCGGTTTGAGCCGCTGTCCTGAGCCGCGGGAGTCTGTCTCTGACAATTTAAGCCGCCGTATGAGCCGCCGTTTGAGCCGCGGGAGTCTGTCTCACGCACGGTGCACGACGTGCAAGATGCGTTTTGTTTACGTTCGCGGCGGGTAAACACACGGAAATAGACTCGGGCCGGTTCGCCGGGCGGCCGCTGCCAAACCGCTGGGAGAGGAGCAGAGGCGCAGTGGGGCTAAAATTGGGTGCAATGGTCTTTATTACTTCGGCATCAATCATTTCTTGGACTAAATCTATGGTATTTTTACTAAAGTAATGATGGGTAAGGTTCGATCCCAAGCAAATGGACTCTCGGGTAGCGTGCCATTGGTTGATACCAATTTATTGAACTTATTAATAAAGATGAAGTTTTAATTTATCACGTCCCGATATTATATTTTCATCGGTCACTGAGACGCTGAATGTTAAATTTTGCGGAGGGTGCATCAGAGCTGACTGCAGCACCAATATTGTGCGCAGTAGTTTAGTAGCCTTGTACAAGTGCAGGTTCATCCGGCAATGATAGCAGTGGCTCGGAGAGGAAGGAAAACAGAGATTACATAAGCAAAGCCATTTGAAGCTTGTTTTGAACTAGTATCATGCTTATTTGTGAAGAAGGTGTGTCAATAACTGTAATAAACAATGTTTACCTACCTCTATGCACGAGCTGAGACGTTGACCCAATTCTTTTGATAGAGTTGAGATAAAAGATAAGCTATGTTGCTCTTTTACTCCGACCGAATCGTCCTCCTATCACAAAACAATGATGCGTATTTTCAACTTGTCAAACCTTCTTCCCGTCAAATCTAATCAGACTCTATGGGGCCCACGTTATGCCCCTCTCTCCCCTCCCCTCCCCCCTCCACACCTGCACTGGATGGACGGCGTATGACGTCATACCCGCCGTCTGCTCGAGCTGGTATGTGGCCATCATGACTGACACCGATCACCGCTACCAGAGCTCAGATCGCGGCGCTCTCACTGACCTGCCTCAATGGCGCCACACTGAACCTACACCACGCTGCAAGCGCCGCAGAGCGCTGCAACGTTGCACGGTACGGTCTCTGACATAGTGCGTGGGGCGGCGGGTGACGCATACAGAGGGGGCCGGAAGTGACACAGATTCCTGCCAGAAGTGCGTGAGGACTGAGGGGGGTGGGAGGGGAGCGTACGCGACTTCGCTGGAAGGAAATGGAGAATGTTCCGTGGGTGAGTGGGTGCGCAGTGTGCACCGCTGTCCGCTCCACTTCATTGACGGATTCGCGGTTTGAAAACTACTTTCACTACGATGCTAAAGATAGAACGAGAGTGAACCATCGATGCCAGTGTCTGAGCGATAACCATATTTGAGAGCTGGTTTAGGTGAACGTAATCGGATGACTAATTCTAAGCTTGACAGTGGATGCTATTTTCTTTTCCCGCAGATGACCGTGTCATGTCTCAATCGAAGAGTTGAGGCACAGTTGGGGGCAGCATGACGAGCATACCTATCAAACTAGATTGATCGACAATGTAGATGCATGAAAAGTAAAGCAAACTAAATGCATTGGATGGCAAACCATCCAGAGATTGAAGGATGCTGCAAGAGGAAGCTACTCAAAACAGCGGGGAAAAAAAGAAAACCAGTATTACAGCTGGCCACAATGATGGAGTGAAGGCTTCGCCGCACAACAAACGACACTCAAGATGGTGACTTAAACTTTTCAGGTAAGAAACAGCCAACAGGATGATTGAGATATGAATGCAGCATGGGTACAGAACTACATGCGAGTCTTTTATTCGCAGGTGTATGCTCTCATTGATCGTGCTTTATTATACCTTAGACCGCTACGCTAGCCTGCACATCGGAAGATTGGAGGGCTCCACGATGTGCTCCGGCCTTTTTCCCATCCGGCCCGACCTTCACCGCCACTTCCATCTCGTATTTCATGACAGAACTGGGCTCACGCGCGGCGCTGCATCGATTTTACCTTTTTACCACCATGCAAGAAGCATCTTTCAGGGACAATTCATTGCGTAAATGCCGCGTGCTGCGCGTAAAAAGACGTCCTTCAGCTGCAGCAAGAACGAACGCTGGGTAAAAACGGAAAATGACCGTAAAAACCAGGAAGGGCACCGGGAGAAAAACAACGATAAACGCTGAAAATATGATTTGAGACCGGTGCGTATGTGGAGCAGCAGGGTAAGAGGTTTTGCGTCAGTTTTTGGTGGGTGCACATGGCAATGCGTCAGGCTGGCAAGGTCAGGTGCGTACTACGAGCTACGTGGCGCCACCTACCGAGCACGGGCAGAGACGACACCGGAAAGTTTTTGTGCCCGAAGGCAATGAGAGGAGATGGAGGGAAAGTTTCATGAATGAATGGAGGTGATGATTGCGGTTATGAGTTAATTACAAGGTTGATTATTAGGAATACAATTTATGCGTTGAGGGCAATTTCAAGAGAGCAATTGAGACGTTTCCTGTCATTAAATTGGTACAACAGGATAAAATTCAGATGAAATTGGCCTTGGCACTAAAGCAACGCATGCCTAATTACCGATTTTGCACATAGCTGAATCAAAAGAAGAATTAGAATAGAATATTAGTGAAGACTATGCGGGAAGGATTTGGGTAATTGTGAGTTTGTTTTGAGACTAAATCATGAACTGGCAATGGTCTTCATAGCTTACTATTTCAGAGGCGGGCCTTCACAAAATAACTTTTTGGCAGTTGCCGGTTTACGCACTCCTTGTTCATCTTACTCATCACACAACAAAAAAAAAAATCGTTCAATTCAAATTATTTATAATATGTGCCTAATGACTTTGTTGTTTGGTTACGCGCTCAAAGGTTATACATTCACAAGCCAAAAACATATGTATGAATAAATGTAGCAGTTGAGTTGATATCCGTGCAATGAAATATGCTTTAAAGCTGCTGATATACATTTTCAATCTCAACAGATGCTAAGGTATAAAATCAAATGGATCACTTCCACAGAAACCTTGCACCTAATCCAAATTTCCTATAACATCGATATTGGCAAATGTCCACGATATGTTACCAAAGCATCCAAATGTATATTTGTATCCAAGCTCTCTCCCCCTTCACCCTTTCTCTATCCACCGCTCCTGCGCAACAGGCCTCCCTCCTCTCTCCCTCTCTCCCCTCCCCTCCCGTTCCGCCTGTCAGTCTGTCAGGCCGGATCAGCCGCGGCGACTGCTTGCTATTCATGAGGGCGTCTCCAGCCGCGCTCCAGGCCGCGGTACTGGAATGCACGCGGCGCCACAGGCTGCCGCCGGCTGGACTGGAAGGGTTACCGGCCGACAGATCGGTTGGAGGAGCTCCTGCACTCCAGACTAGCGACTTATGGACTTATCAGTCAGGGACTGAGAGAGCCGAATGGTCGGAGAGGACCTAAAAATGAAATAGCAACCTACTGAGACCGTCTCTCACCATTTGCCGAGTTATGCCACCTTATCGCCTCCGACAAAAGCACCCAGTCCTAGCTTTAAGGGTGCGATGTTAATGCTAAGTCAATGGGAGGTGAAAAACCGCAATATCTTGAAAACCGATAGAGATATTAGCCTCAAATTTGGCATGTACCTGCTCCAACAGTATACGAAGCCTACTCTGGACAAGTTAATTGATTCCGTGCAATATTCACGTTGATATTGCACGATAAAGGTGGAAAAACTGAAAAGTTTGGGCCGAAATTCATTAAACGTCATTCAAACTAGGCGCAAAAAATGAATGGCAACCGCATATCCTTAAAGTGGACAACAATTCTATGTACTCCGATTTTCCATTTTCTTTTTGCAATGTTGCAAAAAATGGAAGTAAAACTTTGCTCATCTTTTATTTTTTGTGTGAGGCATAAAATAAAAAAGTGGCTACATAGAAATGTGCACAGAACATTTCTTCACACGAAAATGAATTTTACTTTTCAGAAATGTTGGAGCTGTGACTGGAATTAAGCCCGAATCATATCCACTTTTTGACTGTTTTGTTGGTTCAAGGGAGTGCCGCTAGATGTCGTATGGGTCTCCGCCTCGGTCCCTGCCGTTCCCCCATGTAATAAAGCCCGCGAGTCGCGCCGACCGGCGGGGAGGGACTGTCAACACACGGTGATTTACGGTCTGGGGTTCCCGCGTGCGCTGGTGGCCATGAAACTCTGCCGGAACAGAAGCGAACACGGGGTTGTCGGAGGAAAATACGGATGGTGGGTGGATCGAATGAGATTTTATATGAATAGCACATCGATACACAGGTTATCAACTAACAACCTTGGCGCCTATAATTTACCTTCTCCCTTAAATAAACATGGGTATTACATGTGAACTGTGATGGCATGCTTGAATTTGATTGTGGCCAGTCTGTCTATACGTCAGTAATTTCACAATCGCATAGTACTCTGAAGCTGCATTTGTATAGCGATTTAGTATAGCGATCATTTAGTAAATGTCTACATTTTTCGGGGTAACACCGACTGTTGGGTAACACCGCCCGAGCTCAGCAGGCAACGAAATTTGCAGATTGCTGGACTATATATTAAAGGAAAAGTGCCACCTTCGTGAAATATGAAGATATCGTTGCTTTTCATTTTGACATTATTATTTTTCATGTTCTTTTTAAATCTGGTGCCAGAAGTGCATAATTCGCAAAAAAGTATGTCAAACTATTTAACATATTGGTACTATGTTTGTACTCTCTACCGCACCTTCTGTATGATGTCATAGCGATGACATCACACTCAAGCCAATCAGCCTTCAGAAGACAGTCTCGTCGGCTTGTGTCAGATTAGCTGATTGGTTAAAGCTGAGCTGATTGGAGCTGATTGGTTAAAAACCAAAGCCTCGCCGCGGGTGGCTGTATTACAGGATAAGAACGCATTCCTGAGATAAGGACGCATTCCTGGCATATTTTCTTTTAAAATTGCCGATACCTACCAATGGAGGCCGAAATCGGCCGTAAGGTGGGACACTCTCAGGGTTTTCGGACACGGGCTACAAGATGGCCATCTCAGTTTCAAACCCCATGTTAAAGGTGACCCTTTTCCTTTAAGTTGTTCTTCTTATCGTAAATTTCGAGGCTTTTTAGTACCTTTATTTATAAAATACAGTGGAAACGATTTTATTATATCTCTGGTACAATGTAGTACCTACTCATTTATATAACTAGATGACTTAACCCGCGACCGCCTGGGGGGGGGGTCGGATCCGACCCCCCCCCCCCTCCGTTTTTCTTGAATAACTCATGAACCGCTTACGCTATCAACTTGAAACTTGGCATACCTTCTCCCCCATCAATTTGACGTCTCCTGTGTAATTTTTAAGATTTTTTTTTTAAATTTGAGATATATATCGATTTTAGTGATGTAACTATATGGCGTTTTCAGTCAAAAATGATAAATATTTAAAAAATCGCCAAAAATCAAGGTTTAAAGCAAATTTCAAATCAAGGACATGAATAGACGCAGCTCAACGAGTTCTTTAAAATGGCTATCTCGGATTTTCCATAAAATGCGTTTTTCACCCCTAAAAAAATCAAAAAACTATATTTTTTGGAAAACAGCTAATATAATCCAAAATTTTGAGAATTTCCAAAAAACCGGAATATATGTTATAGAGCTCTATTAGAACATTAGATGTCCCAAATTTCAACTATCTTGATTTTTGACCACCAAATTGTAAAAAAATAGCTCCAACATGCATATTGCATAGGGCATGGTGACGTCATAAGCATTTTCGTGAATTAGAGGCACTTCTGAACATCGCAAGTGAAAACAAATGGCACCACTATGGGACAAAGCTCGTCTAGAAAAGTGCATTTTTATGTCAAAAATAAAAAGTTGAAAAATTGACCTTTTTCTTAGCCCTCGTTTAGTTATGTATGGTATAAACGAATTTTTATGCTTTCAATGCACACTTATCACCAGCACAGTAACTTGGGGTCACATATAACCATTACCATCGGATTCGGCGTAAAAAATAAGCCATAAAACATGTGTCGCACGCCTCGTGAACGGGGGCTGGTGTTACCCAAGTGTCTACATTTTTCTAAATAATCCTTCGATATGGCTGCACGACAAAAATTTCGCTCGAGCAGGAGCACGTAATGCATGGAGGAGTCCTAATTATGGCGAAAATACTACTTCAGGGCTAATGTTTGTCAAATAAGATCAGTTCTCTTCTGCTTATTATGCTACAAAAAGTATAAAATGTATTCACGAAACGTAAAATTAGGAATTCCTCGCAAATCACCTAAACCAATGCGATGCACTGCCCACACCTGCACTTCTGTTGTCGTCACGCTGCCAAAAGACAGTCAGCTGTCGCCCTACACCTTTTTATATGTCTGATATCGGGGTGGGCGGTGTTCCCCCATCTTCCCCTAGGTTAACTTGATATTTTGTAATATTTGTAGTTTGTACCTACTTCCAGTCAAGAGTCTACTCCGATATAACAAAAATTATGCGCATGGGGCTTAGCTTCAAACGACATGCTTTCAAATGAGAAATGGATGAGAAATGGAATACGAATCTTCCAGCTCATAGTCTGCTCCAATAAAATAAGATTATGCGCATGGGGCTTAGCTTCAAATGAGAAAATAGATGCTGAACTTCCCGTTGTTGTTACGGAGCGAGCGAAGCAAGCTAAGTCTTTTCAATATAACGGACCAGTATGACGCCTTTTGGGGCGACTAACGGAGCGAGCGAGAGGGTGAG